TGAGGTCAGTTCATTGATCATTAATATGGAAATTCTCATGACCATTGTTGAACAACCACTAATCAAAGCCCATTGATGAAAGACCATTGATCAATGACCATGACTCCATAGAGAGTTGAGGAATGGCTGCAATCACAGCACTGCAAGACGGCAAAAGATGTACCCTTAGCCCCCTCCTCAATTGGGGAAACATGCAGTCAGTTGAGACTGAAGAATCACTTGGATGAGTGACGAAACGTTTCTCCCACAAAACGCTACGTCCAGATGAACAGAATCAACTTTTGGAGATTTACTTACCTGGATGATTGAGCACACATCAAGAAGTTACCTTTTGTACACACACACACACACACACACACACGCACACACACACACACACACACACACACACACACACACACACACACACACACACACACAGACCTTGAAAATGGTCAGGTACAAGAAGTGGACTGAAAAGGAGTGAAAAAGCAGTCAAAGAACAACTTAGGCTGGAGAACTATCGCTCAAGACCACTTTTGAAATGTTTGAGAAAATGTGGGTGTTTGGAAGCAAAATATAAAGAAATAACGGTCGGTTCAAGAGTTTTGCACAGTATTATATAGAATTTATTCAAACGTTTCCAAAGTGAATGTAACTGTTCACATCTCAGTTCCATTTAGAAGTAAGGAGACTGCCAAACATTTGCAGTGTAGCACATTTTCACAAAGTGAATTCAAAGTTGAATCAAAGAACTGTTTATTTTGTCAATTTAAAGGTAATTTAAATGAAGGAAGTTTCCCACATGTCATGCCAAATGTTCGTCACTGCAGTCAGGAACAATCTCAACTCACATTTAAAACTCATTTCAGATAATGAAAGTTTGGAGTTGTCGTGTATGCAGAGTAGGTCGTAGCTCAGGACAGAAGTGATGGTTAAATGCTCGATGCTGCGTATTCACAGTGGCTGATGACACAGATCTGACCACAGATGTTCCTCAGTTGTAGTGTTCAAATCTGATTCCCATCTCGCTGTCTCTCTGTAGATTTGTGAAAACGTAGCACAAAGCCCTTTATTCAACAATGATAGATATATTTTAGAACTCTGTTTATATGGGCGTCCCTCAAAAAGCAATTTCTCCTCAGCAGTCAGCACAGTTAAGGTCATTTCTGGGTCCTGGCTGGTTCTAAGAAAAAGGCCTTAACTGAAGGTGAGAGAAAAGAAAAGTCCTGGCTGAATGGATTCATGTTTTCTCGTCAGTGGTTCAAAAGGAATAAAGAGCTTGTCTTCATAACAGTCTTCCAAATATTAGATTTCTTTATGATGCCAGGGTCTTATTGTTTAAAGTATGAGTTTATTTTTTCTCAGACATGTTTTTGTTGACAGACTGAGATCTCTGAGTCACATACACAATTTTAATACTTTAAGATACATTTACTTCATTTTTGAGTAGATGAAGGGAACAGTTGCCATAAACAGACCTTGAGGTGAGATTATTTTGTCAATTGTTTCGTTGCCAAGGTCAAGAATAGACTCTAAGCCACAGCCTCACTCCCTCCTACTGCTTATTTCAAAGCAGCTAATGAAGTGCTCTTAAATTATGCATTAAAAACTAAGTAAAGTAATTAATGATTTGCGTTAATTGCTTTGGTTCTAATTAAGAGAATTCTCTCAAAAAGTCATGTAATCTCGCACAGCCCTGCGCAACCGTGTAATGATACCAGCTCGTAAACATCTGACCACTTGTTACGGACCATCCATCTATCCATGGTTTGATCATCTAGTAATCTCATAAGGCATCGTAGGAAGCACAGATAGTTTACTTCCAACTCTGACATGTCAGTGCCCCTGTGAAGAAAGGCAAGTCCACAAAAATAGCTTTTCTAGTGTGGTGCTAGAGAATGACTGCCACAGAGCTCTGACCTAAAACCAACAAATAAAAAACAAGAGAGTGAGCCAGCTTTTATCACCACAGACATTAAAAGAGAAAGCCGTGGCACTCTAGCAATCGGGAAAAGGTCTTTATTGAAGTATTCTCGAAAGCCAAACGGAGCCTGTCATTCCAAAGAATCAGCCAACAGCTACGATCTTGCTGCACTGGCACACATTCGTATTAAAATGTTCAATTTCAGCTGTGTGGTGGGCACGTGTGCTTCAAATTGAATAGTATTTGAAATTTTTCAGATTCTCTAAACCTTGACTGAATTCCCAGATAAACAGCCTCAAAGCATGACACAACCACCGCCATGCTCGACAGGGGCAATGGTGTTGTTTTGATGAATATGTAGTATATTAGTGCTGTTTTTGTGTCAAAGATACCATTTACATCAGAGCACAACACATTTTGGAAGACTTGGTGTATCTTGTTTCAAAATTTAGCCAGGCTTGAATGTTTTTCTTTAGTTTCAGCTCCTTAACGAAAGATCCAACGATGAGACACCCCCCAGAAAAGGAATGCATTTACAGGTTAAGGCCACTGACATTTTTTCCCATAGAGGGGTGCAGAGGAGATTTAGGAGACAGGCAGTTACTCTAGGAGACTGTAGAACATCCTTAACCCATCAGCAGGTCTGGAGAAGCCGTGAAGAACTTTTACAAACATTATAACAACTCTATTTTTGCCTTACATACATTTCCACGTATGTTTGCACATTTCAATAAGCCACTGAGTCTATTTTCTATTTTTCTAGCATCATACAAAGAAATAAGTGGAAGCTAAAGACTTGTGAAGTCCCCTTCTGAAAGCTTTCACCTTGCTTTTCAAAGGAATTGTACAGATTACACATTAAATTGTGGTCATATGTAGTATGCAGACTTTTTGAGTTTGTGACATATTCATGGTTCCAAAGCTTCTAGATACCAACGAGACCTTGAACCCACATTAGATTCACAAACGCTATTTTCGGTAGAAAATATTCACCTGAAAATTACCATCACACGATATAGCTCTTCTCCAAAAGCCGATGTGCATCCATATCCGCACGCAGAAACATACACAGATGCCTGCATAACAAAACAAACACACATACAGGTGTGACAACTGCGAGCGTGTCTGTGTGTAGGGCGTCTGCCTCTCCAAACAGGCAGTAGGCCAGAGAGGGGTTTTAACACACTTAATGGGATTTCACACTCTGAAGTACACACGTGTACACACTCTCGGACACACACTAATGTTGAAGATAAACATGTCTGAAAGCTATGTGTGATCCCAGACAAATAAACACACACACACCCACACATGCACACTCTCTGATATAAAAGGATTTGTCAGGCTCCCACATTGTACACATGCAAAATTAATGGACTCCAATATCCACACAGAAACACGACTGTTACTCAGTCATTTACAAAAGAGATGTGGCTTCACACACCTGACAGAGTGACGACGCAGAAACACAGACGCTATACAAATCTTCCATTATGTGTCAGCCCAGGATTGTTGGGGCTTTACCGGTGCTGTGGTCATGGTGACCTCTTATTCTTCAGGGAGTGTTTAAGGAGTGCTCTACTGAAAATCTATATTTTCAATCATCTGGTACTTGGTGTCTCAAAACTTGCTGAATGCTGCACCGAAAAGTTTGTAGCTCTCCTTTTTGCAGAGAACGACAGGTGTGGTAGGGTTGCTTTGACTGCAGTTAGAGCAGAAATTGAATCATAAGTCATTATTTTTTGATCTGTGCATTTATGTTTTTTTCTGTCTTGTCACATGAGCGGTTGAGCAACTTTTTTTCCATCCCTCTTGATTGCTATTAGAAACCATGTAAGGATCGACTTAAACAGATTAAAGGAACAGTTCAAACCAAAAGCAATTTATGCAAAAATTTGGCTCAGTTCTTGGAGTTCTGGTTTCTCCTGCCATCCTAAACATGCTGGTTTATTTCTCAAGCATGTACTAATATGAGCGTAGCAACTCTGGTTAAATTGTGACCGATAACAATGAATGTATTTCCATCCAGACTGTCAAAAATGTGCACACATACACAGGCCAAGGTGTACTAATGTGTGCACACAAAAACCGCCATAAAACATTGGTAAAATCATGTGTGAAATGCATTCATTAAACACACTAAAAACATCAACTGTGTGGAGTTATAAAGACCCGGAAAGCTTCACCAAGTAGCAAGCAACAAACTTTCCAGAGCCACTTATCAAGCCTGTGCGGTGAGAATTTAGCACTCCAATAAAATTGATTTTCTTCAGATTTATTTCTCTAAGAATACATCTGTTTGGGACTAATGCTCAAAAACAGGTGTGTTTGGGGATCAATTTAATATTTCTCAAGAAGACAGGCTCCAGACTTCTCTCAAAGTGGATGGCATTTTTTATTTTTTTTTATTTTCCCCAAACAAGAAACTCTGCGGTAGTTATCTGTTGTCTTCAGAGCATGCAATAAAATATGGGACCTCTACGCTGAGAGAGTGAGTGAGAGCGAGAGAGGAATTTCTTAGTAATAGAGCTTATGTGCTCTGGTAGGTGGACCGTGTTATGGCCTGTCTGAAAACTTTTGCAAAGTTTGGCATTAGAACTTCACCAGACAAATGACCCGGGCCACATACCATAAGTCATGGAGGAAAGCATCTTTCTCTCTCTTCCTCTTTTTCTCCCTCGCTTTCTAGTTCTATCTGTCTCTCTCACTTAGGTGCACACACACACACACACACACACACACACACACACACACACACACACACACACACACACACACACACACACACACACACACACACACACACAGCTAGCGGCAGCTGAAGCAGCATCACTCAGACACCTCAAGCTGTTAATTTCCTTCCTGTCTTGATACATGCAGCCAAGTGGAAAATATTATAGAAGCAACAGCAGTGTGTCCGCTGAGCGCTCACACAAGCACCCCAATCTCTTTTCACCTTCTGACAAACACGTGGTTAAAAGAATCTGTGCGACTGTGCCAGGAGTGCCTGCTGGCTGCTGTTTGCTTTGTGTGTGTTACTGTGTGGCACACACTGGTGAGCTGGGAGGTCGGACGTAATGGAAATGCGGCTCACCTGCTTTCCTGGTTGCTGACGTGCCGACTGATGGAGAGGCGACCTCTGCTGTGATGGTGGGGACAGAAATTGAGATAAATGATGGAAATAATGGCACACCATGGTACAAACTTTGTTTTTCTCTTTCAACTATGCATAACTGGCATTCAGTTTTGATACTGTGCAGAAGGCTTCAGGGAGCCAGACATTCTTGTAATTTTATAGAAAGTGGTCTTGAGCAGTAGTTCTCCAGGCTTCCTGGAGGTCTTTCAAAGTTTTTCTTTGGACATGGGACTGATTTACAATCATTTTCACTTCAGTCGTTGTACCTGACCGTTAACACTGACCTGTGAATTATTGAAACATAAAATGCACCTGACTAAAAGTATGAATCAGTGTTGTGTCTACACATGACAGATGACTTAGCAAAATTGTATTTAATTGTATCTTTAGGCTCTTTTTTTATTAGTCAGTTGTAAATGCACATAATTTGTTGCCACTTCTTTTGTTGCATCTATCATAGCATGGTGTGCAGTTTGCACTTAAAATTTTGAGGAAACTGGAAAAGAAGCCACAGAAACTGCTGTTGGGGAACTTGTTGAAGTACCATCAGAGTTTGGTCCACCATCTAATTCAACCTGGAAAACATCTGATTTGGAACAGCTTCATTTTTCAGCATGACAGTGATCCCCAAAAAACTGCTAGTGTTGTAAAAGCATACATCAGCTGTGGATTGCCCTTTTCTGAGCCTGCACCTCAATGTTATTAAAGCAGTGTGGGATCATTTTGACTTATTTTGGGTCCAGTTTGTATGCCATTTGGCATACCTCAGCCTTTTCTCCCTTTTTTCCTTCCTTAAGACTGACTTGACAACCACCCTTCTACTGAGACTATTTCTGATGGGGCTTTAGTGAACACAGTGGCCAAACTGAACAGCCAGATCCATCTCCCAGGTCATCTTTGCTGAAGGAAATCTGCTTGAAATGGTCAGATACAAGGACTAAACTAAAATTGTGTGGAAAAGGTAGCTAAAGCCCAAAAGAAAATGACCTTCAGAAGACCTGGAGAACGCTCAAGACCACATAAAAAATTACAAGAAAGTCTGGCTTCTTGGAAGCAAAATATAAAGAAATGACAGATCTAACCGCTCTCATTTAGTCGTTATTCCTCTTGCTTATATTGGCCGTTGTTGCTGCTGCTACACTTTCTTTGCCACTTTTTCCTACACTCTCATAATAACCTTGTTCAAAATCTCTCTTGCCCAATGACCACTCTGCCAGTTTAAGCCAACCTGCCCCTTTTCCCTGTTCTTTAAATCCACTGCGATCTGTCACTGTGCATTTCAGGCTCTGTATTGGTACATTTGGACTGTTCAGGCTGGATGTGTGTCATCCAAACTCTGATCCAAAGTCTTTACCTCAACACCACCATCCTAGCCTTCCAAACGATCCCTCCTTATTAAAAGGTATATTGTCAATATTTTACAAGAAGCTCGATGACAAAATGAGAATATAATATTGTGTAACTGAACATACTTTTAAGCAAAGCTTCCCCTGCTCTCAGCACAAAACGTCTTGTTTCACTGGAACTCTAAATTTCATGCAAATATAATTTTACTTCCTTGATATAAAGAGGCACAGTTACTCCTTCATTTTATCAACAATAAATGCCTTTATAGAGTCGTTTGTAAATGCTGGCTAATCACCCTTAGTTTGTGTATGTGGGGATATACCCACATACACAATGCTAAGTGCCCAGAGTGAGGGACAAAAACAATATCCATGTGCAAAGGATTTGAAAATGAAAGTGCATGACCCAAATTGGGACCGATGGTCTGTTGCCCTGCTACAATTTGTCTGGCTTATTTCCAAACACTGTTGTTATTTGCTCAGACTTGGCAGTAGTTAGTAATTCTTCAAAAAAAGGGAAAGTCAGCAAATGCAGATGCCGTGAACAAAGTGGATTATGTATTATGATTAAAGTCTCTGGGTCCACCTGTCACAGGATATTGTTGTGGGCCAAATGCTGGTAAAATTAATTATAGATTTAAAGTAGTGCAATTCTGCAGGAAAAAAAAACAGGAAGAGCTGCTAGCTTCTGAAAGAAGGTCATTTTTTTCTTTTCTTGGATGATATCTGTTCAGTGAGAGGCATTCGTGATCTCAAGACTCTTCTTTGGTACTAAAAACATGAAAACAACATGAGTTATCAAGATGACAGTGCACTTGGGTTGATTTGATAAGTAGCTATTGGCTCACCAAGACACACTAAGTGGATAACAGGCAAAGGTGAAAACTTTCTCTGCTTCAAAGAAGAAAAAAAAAGCGGTGTGCTGCAATAATTCACCTGGTGCAGATGATAGAATTTAACAGCAGAAGTGCTGTGGGCAACTTTGCTGATTTTATTTATCCATCCTAAATTCAGTAAGACTTTCTCTGTTTTGTGACTGTAAGATTGCAGTCCAGGTCCTGCAATTTGGCTTCAATATTGGATCTTAACAATTTCGTCCCACCTTTTTTTGTCATAATGCACCTCCATCAACTTTGCCCCGGAGCTCGGACACAGCCGCTGCAGCTGCCTCGCTGCCATTAACTCATCTGTAATCTTTAGTGCTTGGTCCAAAGTTGCAGTAAACAGTTTTGCTTGCTTGCAACTTGGAGTTTTATTATCCAGTAATCATGTAACACATTGCCAGTAAACTGCACACAGCTGGACGATAAATTCTCTGCCGAGCTTTCACTCGACAGAGTTTGCACTTTTGTTTTTCACCTTTTCTATCTAAAACAGCTGTTTTGTTTGAACCCCTGGTACATTAATAAGATCTTCAGGTTACCATGTAATAAAGAAGATCACAATTACTGAACATAGTGAACCTTCAGTTGTTATTTAACAATCTCAGCTGGATCGATTGCTCAAATACTTAGCTGTTGCACTTTAAACAGGATACAAAGTGACAACAGCACTGATATGTGTATCACGTTTCCCGCTGATACAGGCACAGATCAAATCATCTGTGTCGCATCTGGTTTGCCCGTGTTTTTTTTTTTTTTGGTTGTTGTTTCCTCTAATGTTGCTCTACTTTGTCATCCTGGCTGATGAAATATTTGTAGTTTTACATAAAAAGCCCGCGCTGGGCTCCTTTGACAGTGCAATCAAACATTTTTAAACTCTCAGATCAAGAAAATTCCAGCAGCATCCTTCATCAGCTCTGCTGGGTGCTTTAAATTCAGTCTTGTCTTAAGTATGAAGCAGTTCGTCTTTCTTAAAATTCGAATAGTGCATCGCTGCCCGTTCTGGACTAAACTGCTGGTGAAATTTCCAAAGCAAATCTGCAGAACAGTCTCAATGGCACAACAGCACAATGGATCAAATACTCTGTCTCTGTGTGTAAGAATAAACATGTGGTTAAACAGAGCTTAATTTGAACAATCTGAACTCATTCGAGAAAGTTAAATTACCTGGAAACATTTCATATTTCCTAGAAGTTTTCTTACTCTTGATTGATAACTTAATTGATTCGATCAGACTGACTGACATATCTTCCTAGTAACCATCCTCAGATTCTGAAGATGTTTCTAGAAGGTATTTTGATGTAAACACTGCAGACCTGCCACTGAGGTACAGCCTGTTCATACTGAATGGTATTTGTGATTGTTTTGAACGAATCAGGTTTATCCTGGCACATTTTCAAAGTCTGAGCCCTGTCCCTGCTTTTTCTTTTCACCGTTGTGTCTTCTAGTGTGTGCCACTGTGTGTCTCTCTCTGTCCATGTGTGCTTTCCTTGTCACCTTTTGCAAGGATAGTTTATGAAAAACCAACCTGGGATTTGTTGCATATTTCTGCTAACACACAAACAGACAAGGAAACAGAGAGAAAATATCCCATTTATAGTCTTCTAGTTCCTGTCCCCCACAGCTTGATGCCTCCACTGCCGTGTTTGACTGTAGGGGTGGTATTAATGAGGTGATGCTCAGCGCCTAGTTTCCTCTAAACATGCCGCTGGAAATTGCGGCCAAATGGTTGAATCATCATTTCATCAGACCAATTTCCCCTTCTAGTTGTCGTTCAGGTGGCCTCTGGCAAAACTCCCAGCATGTTGTGATGTGCCTGTTAGTGAGGAATGAAGTCCATCTGGCCACTCCACCATTAAGGTATAATTGGTGCTGCACTGAAGGCTGTCCTTGTAGAAGGTTCTCCTATAGCCAACAAGGAACCACAGTATGGCTCTCATCCATCCCTTATTACTCATTTTGACTGGGTTTTCAGTTTGACTGTTGGTTGCTTCACACTTCTTCTGTTCAAAGTAACTTTGTTAGAAATTCCTTTCAATGCTTAAAGTATTGTCTTGTATCGATCCCCAGATCTTTGCCTTGACACAGTCCTGTCTTGCAGGCCTATGGACTGCTGACTTGACCTAACAACTCTCATGATAATGTCCAATATTTTATCCACCCTTAGGAACCCAGAGTTTTTAGGTTTTTTTCTCCTGTACATCACCACAGTGGATTTTAGGTCAAACACTCACCATGTGGCAGACTTTCAACTTTAATTCAAAGGGTTTAATCAAAGTGCTGCATGAACTGTTCATGAATTAAAGCCATTTTTATACACGTCCCACATTTCAGAGGCTCAAAAATAATTGGACAATTGACTGATACAATAGCTTCATGGCCAAGTGAGGCCTGTTCCTTCAGTAGATCACAGCAAATTAGGCAAATAAAAGATCTGGAGTTGATTCAAAGAGTTGAATTTGGAGCTCTGGTAGTCATGAAACTGTTCATCAAACAATTGTCCTGTTACTTTCGATCCTCTGAGAATGAGGGACTGGATATAAAACTGGCTGTAATTCCAAAACGTTTTTATTATTATTATTATTTTAAAGCATAAAGCATTATTTTTGAACTAAAGCCAAAAGTTTGGATTTCAACCACATCTTGATTGTTTAACTTAAGATCCACTGTGGTGACACACAGCGACAAAACCTACAAAAACTATGTCATTTTCCAAACATACTCCCAAGAACCCAGCTACAGTATTTGAGGTTACATAACTGTATCATTAAATACACCA